CCAACACATTCATATCATGACCAATGTGAAATCCTACTCAGCAAACTCAGATGGGCCAATTGACTGCTCAGTCAGAATCTGTCTTCATCCAACTCCCAAGGGCAAAGGAGGGGAGGAAATGTTTTGTGGGGGGGGGAGATTGGGGCTGGTGCTGATTGAGCAAAGAGAATTGTAATCAGGCGCAGAACTGTCTTACTCCCCATCTCACTAGTATGATGTTGCACGGGAGCTCAGAGCACACAAACAGCCCAAATCAATAAGCAAACATCACACCTTGGTCTCTGACATGTACACCTTGCAGAATGCAATGTTCAAATCAACCATTTCCGTGAGGAATGGCATGAAAAAAGCACATGGGGGGAGATACACAAGTTAGAATAACTACACTACCAGAAGGATGTGGAAGCTTTGGAGAGGATACAGAAAAGGCTTACCAGAATGTGCCTGGTTTGGAGGGTATTAGCTATGAGGAGAGATTGGTCAAACTTGGTTTGTTTTCACTTGAATGTCACAGGCTGAGGTGCAACCTGATTACAAAGTTTCCAAAACGATGAGAGGTATGGAATAGAATAGGTAGTTGGAGTCTTTTTCCTACGGTAGAAATGTCAATATTAGGGGGCATACATTTAAGGTAAAAGGAGGAAAATTTAGAGGAGATGTAAGAGGCAAGTGTTTTTTCACACAGAGGGTGGTAGGTGTCTGAAGTATGCTGCCCAGAGGTGGTAGTGATAGTGGTGGATACAATAGCAACATTTAAGAGGCATCTTGACAGAGACAGTAATAGATAGGGAATAGGGAACATGGACCACATCAAGGCAAAGCTTTTAGTTTAGATAGGTGTCATGTGGCCAGCGCAGGCTTAGTGGCCAAAAGGTCTTGTCCTGTACTGTACTGTTCTTTATTCTTTTACAGTGGATGGGTCTGGTGTGAGGGGAGAAAGAAGACAGCAGAGAAGGACTAGGAGCTGTGCAAGGAAATTGCATTTCTTCAAATTTAGCCCAACATGTAATCACTGATAATTAATTAGCTGGTCAGAGCATGCAAGAAAGATTTTTCATGGTTTTGCACAAAATGACCTGGGCTATTAGCATATTTGCATTATTTTTCATTCGATTCAATCAATGCCAGGACACACTGACGCAAAAGAAGTGACCGGCAATTCAAAAGAGACCAGACTCAAAGGAAGAATTCATACCAGAGAACAATGAAAGGCAGGGGGGTGTCACAGGATTTATCAAGATAAATATTTAATCTTTGTCACCGAGGTCACAAAACAGTGGCTTACTGCATATGAATGCTTTGTCTTCAGGTGAACTTGTAAAAATGGTATTTTACTAAAAACTACACAATACATCATTCTTATGCATATTAAAATGAAACCCAAATCTCTCACTTAAGCCGTCAGTCTTTCTCCCAAACCCCCAGCCTCATTTCCAAGACTTGGGCCAGACACTTCAAGTCTTACCACTAGCCATCAGTTACTTTGCAAGGAATTACAGGTCGATAACCAATCCATTTGGCGATATAGTGAATGTAACTCCCATGGCCCATAGTCCTGGCATTTGAACTCTGTCAATTCTGGCCAAGGGATGGAGATGCTCCAATGAGCCACAAAAAGCACAGTGGCAGTGGCTCAGTGGTTAGCACTGCTGCCTCACAGTGCTGGGGCCAACATTCAATTCCACTCTTGGGCAACTGTCTGTATGGAGTTTGCACATTCTCCCCTGTGCTGTGCGGGTTTGCTCTGGGTGCTCTGGTTTCCTCCCACAGTCCTAAGATGTGGATGTCAGGTGGATTGGCCATACCAAATTGAACATAGTGTCCAGGTATATGCAGATTATGTGGATTTGCCATGGTAGGTGTGGGGTTACAGGGATAGAGCAGGGGGCTGAGTCTGGGTGGGATGCTCTTTGGAGGGTCAGCGTGGACCCAGTCAGCCGAATGGCATGCTTCCACACTGTAGGGATTCTAATCAAAAACCTTTTATACTGAACCTAAAATCTTGTTTTTAGAAGAAAACTAAATATCGCACAGATAGCAATTTGCATTTGTTGCATCTCTTGTGTATCCTTTGCGTGCCAATTCTCTCATCCTTATACAATTGCATAGCTCAGGAGGTAACCATTCAGCTCATCAAATTTTGGCTGGCAACTTTGCAAGAGTCAACTAGCTTGTTCCATTTCCCTGCTGTTTCCCCATATTCATACAATGTTTATTTTTCTCCTTCAAATAGCTATCCAATTTCCTTTTGAAGGAAATGACTGGATCTGTATTCATGAACTTGTTTAGTGCATCCCAAATCCTAGCCATTCAAAACGTTTTTCCTAACGTCACCTCTGGTTCTTTTCTTAACAACTATAACTCCTCCCATTAGTTGCCAACCTTTAGCTACTGGAAATAGCTTCTCATTATTTACCATTCCTTCAATTAGAGGCTGCGCCTTTAGTTCTTGAATTCCATCCTTAAAGCTCTCCATTCCTTCTAAAGGTGCTCTAAAATCATCATCTGACTTCCTGGCTCCATTCTCCTGAAATCTGGTCAATCTTTGGCAAAATATTTCCATTGCTCACATCAGTTTGGAGTTTTACTTTATTAATGTACTGATGTCCTTGTGGTCTGAGTTATCTGCTCCACCTAATCACTGCCATTTAATACATAATGTCTCTGCCCATCCCCACAGAATTTTTTTGTTTTGCAATATAAAGGAAATCATATGTTTAAAAACTACAAGACTAAAGAAGAACTGCATTTGTTCAACAAGTTTCATATGCTTTATTCAGTGTCAATAAAAATGGGAATAAAGTCACCTTTTCACGAGAAATACACTACTTGCGTCATCTACGCGAGTGTTAGGTCAAGAAAGATTCAGGAGGGACATAAAGTGAAGAGAGAGAGAGAGAAAGAAAGAAAGAGAGAGAGAGAGAGAGAAAGAAAGAGAGAGTGAGAATGAAGTCGAGGTATCTTACTGCTGGGGTTCATGGTCACATGCCTCATGCTACTCAAGATTCTCAGCAACTTGTGATACAACACAGACCATTGTGCAATGCAGTACTTTCTAACTTAAAAGGTGGTGGTTGTACAAATGTGGAAGCATAGAATCATTCACCATGCACTTTAGTTTTTTAAACTGCTAATTTTCATTGACTCTCAAACAAAATAACTGAAAACTATATGCCTAGGTTTGATCGTCTTTATTCTTTCATGGGACTGAGGCAACGGAGGCAAAGCCGGCACTCATCATCTTGTACTGAAGTGCCTGCAAAACTATTTCAGAAAACAATTAAGAGTCAATCCAAATTATTATGGATATAGAATCACACATCAGCCAGGCCAGGGAAAGAAATCTGCTATGATGGAATTTGAACCACTGTCCCCAAAACATCAGCCTGGGCCTTGGATTGCTAGTCCAATGATATTACTGTTATACTAATTAATCAAAAATACAAAAAAAACAAATCATTTTGGCAGGGACTCCTGGGTGATGGCTGGCATTTGGAGCTCTCAGATTCCACGACACCGGTTCACAAACCCCAGTCAAATGGTGAAAGTCCACAGCCCCAGTGTCATGAACCCGATCAGATGGGGAAAGTCCAAAGAGTGGGACAAAGTCCCTGATCTTTACACCATTCTGGTCATGTGCTGTATCACCATTTTGTACTACCTTCAGCACTTTTCCAATCCTCAAAAGAATAGATGAAAACAAGTCCAAGTGGCCCATGTAGACCACACAAGCGGACAGTTCCCACCAATCCTTAAGGTCAAGCAGCTTCCCCCACCTCCTTCAAAACAGGCTGTTTTTGCATTAGCCTTATTTTTCATGTACTTTAATAACAATTCCCGTAATCTATTTGCCCCTTCCTCAAAGAATTAACTCCTCCATGAAGCCAAAGATGAACTGAGATTGTACTCATCTGTAAATTAGTTTACTGGGACTTGGGGAGAACTCATAAATCTCTCATCTTGTCCAATATCCAACGTAGGATAGTGGCCAGAGTTATTGGATGGAAACAAAGGGAATCTTGGCCACTTCTTCTCTGCCTACTTGAAATGAGGTCAACTGTAGCGGTAGAGTCCAGTGGTTGTCAAATACAGAAGGCAAACACAAGAACCCTCCACCCCCACCCCCGTCAATGAGACGCAGCACAGTAGAGATAAGGGCCGTCGGTTTGTCTATCCCTCCACATAACTGTTATTCTCAGACTCAAAAGATCAAAGGTGGGGGAAATGAATTTAATAATTCAAAATGATGAGGGAAATAAATAAATAGACAATAAAAAGTGTTTCAACTGGTTGAAGGATCACTAATAGAAGGGGAAAATGAGGATTTAAGTTGAGATCTGGAATGTGCTACATGAACAGACAATGCAATAACTTACAACTAGAAAAATACTTGAAAAGGGAAAAAGTATTCATCACTATGGGGAGATAAAAAAAAGTCAAGCAGTCGATCTATTTAGTATTTCAAACAACCAGCATGGGGACTATGGGTCAAATGGCCTCCTTCTGTGCTGTAAAATTCAATGACTGAACACTAGAGGGAATGCAGCTTCCCTATTTTACCTATATTTCCAGTACTCAGAACAGCAGCTTTGGTAGCTTGGGTGTAGTTCAACTCTTGACAGGGGGTCTTGCGAAGTATAGTAAAGAATGTCACCACCCACATTGTTCACAAGACAGGCAGCAGAAAGACAGGGACCTGTAGTTCCACACTGTTTGAGTCATCCATCCACTTCTTAAAAGGGGAAAGGTACATCCAGATAAAGTTTAGACGATAAAGGGCCAATTTAACCCACTTCATCTTAACCAACCAGAAAAAAAATCATCGTTGTCCTCACCTTCAGAGCATCTCCCAATTGCTTATACTGCATAAATAATATACACGTCTATAAAATACATAAATGGTCTCAATTTCAAAATTCGCATCCTCTCAAGATCACACAGAACTGCTCATAGGAGCACCCTCTGGTGTGCTGTATGATTGATATAATTTCGACATTTACCTCGTTGCTGTTTGTGGGGGTTTACTGTACGTATTTCCTCTATTACGAATGACTTACGACCTTCGAGAAAAACAGAAGTACCTCATGGTCTGTAAAATGCTTTGCAGCCTCCTGAAGTCGTGAAAGAAAAATAAAAGATCTCTTATTTCTGCAAGTTTCATCAGATAAGCTCCCATCTCTAACCAGCCCACGCTGTCAACAAAATATTCCGAAAAGAAATGAAACACAAAACCACGATGTTTATCCCGGTTTTGCTCGCAGGTCCTGGAGATCAGTCGCTAACTCTGACTGGGAGTCTCCAGAACAATCCGGAAGAATTGCAGCTTGTGTCTCCCACTAACATGGTAGAGACGGCCACTTTTCTACGAAACTGACATTGCTGAAAAATTGTTTGACCAGCTCCCGACAGTCACTTAACATGTTATTTACCAGGCAGAAAAAAAAACTGCCATGGCCCCTGACACTTACCGGTTTATTGAAATCCTATCACTTTCCAGACGCAGAGTTTAGCTCAACATCACCTTCTCCGAAAGCTACTGCCGCCGCCGGTGTTTCCAAAAATACCTGCAATCTACCAAAGAAGACAACCATTTATTAATGTGTTAATGACATTAATGAAATTAAGCTGAAAGACATTCCACTGTTTTCGATCGCCGGCTCAACTTTTTAATACAGATTTTAAATTGAAGATGTTACATCTAACTGCTGAGTGCCATGGGTCGGCTTCAGGGAGTATCACGGCCTGGATGCTGCCGATCCGCTCGCTACTTCTCCGCTGTCAGATACACGGTATCTCCTCCCAGCAGATACACCGCGTTCCAAATCCCGGACACGCCCTGTCAATCCATCAACATCGATCTGTCAATCAACTGCAAGCCGCAGCCAATCAACTCCCCGCTCTTTGCGTCACACCGCCAATCAGCGAGACCTACGGGGGTTGGACGGGCGAGGCCCCGCCCAGACGTGGGTGTCGCTGAGGAACAAAACAAGAGGGAAAAAAAAGGGAAGGGCTATGGATTGAGAATGTCTTACATTCTGTGCAGGTTAATCATTTGCAAGGCTGCCGTATCCACTCCTTGACCGTAGTTAAGACGTCATTGTTGTATGGATGTACCCAGTTCGTTGCCTATTGCTCATGATGAAGGTAGCTGTCACTCAATCTCTTTAAATGCAGGGAACTACTGGGTCTGCTTGCTGTACTGAGGTAAGATAAACCACTGAAACCAAAACAGCAATTACTGTTCAAACTCAGCAGGTCTGGCAACATCTATGGATAAAAAGAAAGTTAACATTTTGGATTCAGTGAGCCTTCTTCAGAACTGCTGTCCACAGATACTGCCAAACCTGCTGACTTTCTCCAGCAATTTCAGTTTGTTTCAGATCTCCAGCATCTGTAGTGTTTGTTTCAGTTTTAAGGTAAACTGCTTCCCAGTCTAACTAGAAAAGTGTTTTGTAGTTGGCATGACATATTTCATGTTACCAACTACTTACAGGTTACATTAATGTGTTAGACATTGTCACAGAGACTTTGAGCAGGACTAGATGTTAGGTCTCACACCTTAAAGACCTTAAGTTGTTCTGCCACAAATCTAAGAGGCATTATCTTAGGAGATGGTGTTTATGGCATTTCTTGGTATTAACCCTTTCAGACCCATTTACAACAGAGGCCCAGGTTCAAGTCCCAACTGCTGCAGAGGTGTGTCACAGCATGTCCAAACAGGTTGATTAAAAATAATTCCAATAACAAGGAGCTTCATCCTTGCATTTCCAGCTTGTTACCTACATCTTATCTCATGACAAGATGGCCAGTTACCAGAAACTGACAGGAAAGAAATGCCAAGGTGACTACCCTAGTGTGAGCCACTGTATCTAGAAGGGGAATCATGCTGCAGTCTGTGATTATAACAAATGGGAATTCAAAAGTTAGAGGTACCATCAGCAACATCCTTGGGGTTACCATTGACTGGAAATTGAGCTGAATCTGCCATATAAATACTGTTCCTGCAAGAGCAAATCATACAACAAAGATTCTGCAGTGAGTTACACACCTCCTGAACACCCTCTCCCCAAATCTTATTTAATATTTACAATGTTCTGTGAGTGTAGCTCAATAACCCTCAAGAAGCTTGACACCATCCTGCACAAAGCAGCCCACTTGATTGGGACCAACATCCATTATGTTCAACATCCACTATGTTCAATACTCACTCCATATATTAGGAGTGCTCAGCGGCAATGGTGTGTGATTCCCTGTTGCAACTCACCAAGGTTCCTCAACAATATCTTTCAAACCTATGACTCCACCACATGGAAGAACAAGCACACTAGACACATAGGAACAGCGCTACCTACAAATTCCTCTCCAAGACACACCATTCTGACTTGGAACTGTACCACCATTCATTCACAGTTATGGAGTCAAAATCCTTGAACTCCCTCCCTAACGGTATTATGGGCATACATAGTCCACATGGATTTCAATGTTTCAAGAAGGTAGCACTTGTCCACCTTTTGCAGGGCAATTAGGTATGGGCAAGAAATGCTGGCATAGTGACTGGCACCAAAATCACATAAACAAATTATTCATTAAGAGATCATATGTTGACGAACTTTTGATCACCTGTCCTAATAGATCCTTATGTATTCCACTGTCAATTTTTGGTGATATTCAGTGATACAACTTGGGACCTTACACACCATATAAATGCAAGTTGTTTCAGTTGTAAACACAAATAAAAACTTCCACAATCCCTTACACAACGACTGAAGAATGATAGAGACAAAAAGAAAAAAAAAAATGGGTGGAAGTAGTGAAAAACCAAACCAGAAGGACAAACATGTTTCCTTTTTGTTCAGATGTTGCCAAACCTGATTTGTAGCACTTTTTTTTTGCTATTTATGCTTTAACATTAATCTGTTGTCCAATAGCATTCAATTTAGAAAAATAGAGCAGGGATAAGATCAAGTCAATAAATGTGGAAATCAGATGCAGAAATAAATCCTGCATTTCTGTTATGTTTATCTAATTTCTCAAGACATTCTAAAACCCTTCAGATCAAATTACAGAAAGAATTTGCATTTATAGAGTGATTTTCACAATTTCAGCCTACCGAAAATGGTTCACAGCCAATTGAATAGTTTCAAAGTGTCGTCATTATTATGATGTTGGAAATGAGGCAACGAAATTGCATATAACAAGATCCTATAAGGAGATAACACCAAATCACCTGTTTGAGTGTTATTTTTAGAATATTAATTGTTGAGAAATAATAATCAGCAAGAAGTCCTTTTCACTGATTGGTACCTGTTGGTGAACTCAGTGTGATGTGGTATCTGAATATTTATGGATTAACAATCTGTCCATCCTGGTTTTGTGGGGCAGTTCAAAGTGTTATTGCTGTTTATTATTGCTGATTTAATCACATTTAATAACACCTTGAAGAATATCTTAAGCTGTTTTTAAATTTTAAATTTTAATTCAATTTCTGGGATGCCAGTATCAAAGGATAGCGTGAAATACAAATGCAGCCTCACTAACCCAATTCTTTTCACCACACAAGGAACCCCTGTTGAATTTAGGAGTCAGATTTGGTAATACAAATTATGGGATATAATTCTGCAGTTTTAAGTGAAACAGTGCAAATAACAGAAACAACTTTTCAATATATTCTTGAAGAATTCTTAAGTGTCAGCTGTGGCTCAATTGACAGCAATCTTGTTTCTTTGTCTGAAGGTGGGGGTTTACTCAAAGAGCTTAATCACATAATTTAGGCTGACATTGTACTGCGGCAATGAAGGAGCACTGTTTTGTCAGTGATGTTGTATTTCAGACAATATTTTGAACCAAAGCTATATCTATCCTTTCAGGTGGATTTAAAAAGTCCAACAGTGCTACTTGGAAGAAAAGCAAGGGAGTTCAAGTAATATCCTTCCACTGATAGCACTAAAACGGTGCTTCTTCAGCAATACCTCCACCCTGCAACCTCCACCCCGAATAACAAAAGCAATAATTCAATGGGAGGACCATCACCTTCTAGCACTCACCATCCTGATTGGAAACAACCTTCAATTCCTTTATTGTCACTTGTGCAGAATTCTGAAATTCTTATGTAACTAACACCAAGATTGCAAAAGTTTAAGATGAACACTCACTACAACCTGAGAAAAAACTATGATGTGGAGGTGCCTGTGTTGGACTGGGGTGGACATATGAAGAAGGACTGAGGCTCCAGAAGCTTGTGTATTCAAATAAACCTGTTGGACTATAACCCAGTGTCGTGTGATTTCTAACCTTGAGGAAAACTAGGTTTGGATAAATGCCAGGCTTGCCAATAACACACATATTTTGAAGAAATTCATTAAAATTTCAAAAGCAATATTTGAGATATTGTAAGGAAATTGCCATCTTAAGAAACCTTGACTTTTCCTTTCTATCTCTTCCTCTCTATCAAAATCTCTTTCAACCTTTTTGAATCGCCTCATGAAAGATACCTGATCTTTCATAGGCTTTTTTAGCCATAAGACAACTTGTTCTTTTTTTTTGATTCTTGTCTATTTGTCCTTGCTAGATATTAGAACATAGAACATGGAATAGTACAGCACAGTACAGGTCCTTCGGCCATGATGTTGTGCCGAACTTTTACCCTAAACCTAAGGTCTATCTAAACTCCATCCCTACCTTATACTATCATCCATATGCCTATCGAAGAACGCTTAAATGCCCCCAATGAGGCCGACTCCACTACCCTCTCCGGCAATGCATTCCATGCCCCGACCACTCTCTGAGTAAAGAACCTACCTCCGACGTCTCCACTATATCTACCTCCACTCACTTTAAAACTATGTTCCCTCGTGATAGCTACCTCCATCCTAGGAAAAAGTCTCTGGCTGTCCAATCTATCTATATCTCTGATCATTTTGTACACCTCTATCAAGTCACCTCTCATCCTTCATGGTTCTAAAGAGAAAAGTCCTAGTTCTCTCAACCTTTCCTCGTAAGACCTTCCCTCCATTCCAGGCAACATCCTGGTAAATCTCCTCTGCACCTTTTCCAATGTTTCCACATCTTTCCTGTAATGAGGCGACCAGAACTGGACACAATACTCCAGATGTGGCCGAACCAGGCTTTTGTATAGCTGGAGCATAACTTCACTGCTCTTGAACTCAATCCTTCTATTAATGAAAGCTAACACACCATATGCCTTCTTAACAACTCTATCCACCTGGGTGGCAGCTTTCAGGGAACTGTGGACATGAACCTCAAGATCTCTCTGCTCCTCCACACTGCCAAGAATCTTTCCATTAACCCTGTATTCTGCTTTCAAATTTGTCCTTCCAAAATGAATCACCTCACACTTTTCAGGGTTAAACTCCATCTGCCACTTCTCAGCCCAGCGCTGCATCCTATCAATATCCCTTTCTAACCTAGAACAGCCCTCTGCACTATCCACAACTGGATCCACCTTCGTATCGTCTGTGAACTTACTAATCCCCCCTTCCACTCCTTCATCCAAATCATATACAAAAATCACAAATAGAAGAGAACCCAGAACAGATCCTTGTGGTACACCACTCGGAACTGAGCACCGTATTGAATATTTTCCATCCACTACCACCCTTTTTCTTCTAAGGGTCAGCCAATTCTGAATCCAATCTGCCACATTTCCCCCTATCCCAGGTCTCCTTACTTTCTGCATGAGCCTACAATGGGGAACCTTATCAAACGCCTTAATTAAAACCATGTATACCACATCCACTGCTCTATCTTCATCCACGTGTTTGGTCACCTCTTCAAAGAATTCAGTAAGGTTTGTGAGGCATGATCTACCCCTCACAAATCCATGCTGACGATCACAAATCAAACTGTGCCTTTCCAAGTGATCATAAATCCTATCTCTCAGAGCCCTTTCCAATAATTTGCCCACCACTGAACTAAGACTAACTGGCCTGTAATTTCCGGGGTTATCCGTATTCCCTTTTTTGAACAAGGGAATGACATTTGCCTCTCTCCAATCTTCCGGCACTATACCTGTGGACAGTGAGGACAAAAAGATCATTGCCAAAGGCCCTGCGATCTCTTCCCTCACTTCCCATAGAATCCCATCAGGCCTGGGGGACTTATCTATCTTCAGGCTCCTCAAAATTCCTAGTACATCTTCCTTACTAACATCAACCTCCTCTAGCCTACCAGCCTGTTTCACACTGACTTCCCCTACAACTAGGTCCCTCTCAGTTGTGAATACTGAAGAAAAGCATTCATTAAGGACCTCTCCTATCTCTGTAGGCTCCGTGCACAAATTCCCTTTACAATCCTTGATCAGCCCTACCCTGTCTCTGGTCGTTCTCCTTTTCCTCACATATGTGTAAAAAGCCTTGGGGTTTTCCTTAATCCTATCTGCCAAGGTTTTCTCATGCCCCCTTATAGCTCTCCTAAGCCCTTTCTTCAGCTCCTTCCTGACTAACTTGTATCCTTCTAGAGCCTTTTCCGATCCTTGTTTCCTAAACCTTATATAAGCATCCTTCTTCCTCTTAACTAGTCGTTTGACCTCTCTGGAGAACCAAGGCTACCTCACTCAACTGCATCTTCCCTGCCTGCTAGGGACAAACATATCGAGCACACGCAGTATGCATCCCTTAAACGATCTCCACATTGCTTTCCTGACAGCATCTGTTCCCATTTTATGTCACCCAGTTCTTGCCTAACAGAATTGTAATTACCCTTTCCCCAATTATAAACCTTACCCTGCTGTATGTACCTATCCTTTTTCATGACTATTGTAAAAGTAACAAAGTTATGTTCGCTACCGTCAAAATGCTCTCCTACCAACAGGTCTAACACTTGGCCCGATTCATTGCCAAGCACCAAATCCAAAGTGGCCTCTCCACGTGTTGGTCTATCTATGTCCTTCCTGAACGCACTGGACAAAATCCATTCCATCTAAACTATTACACTGATACAATGCCTCCACTGCCTCTACTTTCCTGCATCCAATGGCTCTTGGGTCTGTTTCACTTCTTCCTTGGACTCGCTTCACTTGACAGATTGCAGCACAGTAATTGATTGAATACAATTAATTTGAGTTATCCACTTTGTTTTCAGTTATTTTCTCTAATTTTCCCATATTGGAAATGCCCAAGATTTTATTAGTTGTCATTATACTTTAACATGTGGTACTACTACCATTTCTGGATTGTTACAACAGTGGTCTGCAATTGGTTGGTTTAAGAACATATTTTACTGAGAATGTGTCTCCTATCAAATATTGGGAAATCAATCAGGCAGGCAGAAAATTGCATGCCACTTACTTGAAATAAAAATATTAATGCCATAATTTCAAATAAATGTCAGAGATAGCAAGAACTGCAGATGCTGGAGTCAGAGATAACACAGTGTGGAGCTGGAGGAACACAGCAGGCCAGGCAGCATCAGAGGAGCAGGAAAGTTGACATTTTGGGTTGGGACCCTTCGTCGGAAATGGGGGAGGGGTAAGGGAGCTGGGAAATAAATAGAGAGAGGAGGGGTGGGGCTGGGGAAGGTAGGTGGGATGGTGATAGGTGAGTGCAGGTAGGGAGTGGTGGGGATTGGTCAGTGAGGTGGGAGGGGTGGATAGGTGGGAGAGAAAATGGACAGGTTGTGTCAGGTCAAGGAGGCGGGGATGAGAGGGCAGGTTGGTCATGGGATGAGGCCAGGAGTGGGGAGATTTTGAAACTGGTAAAGTCCACATTTAGGCCATTAGGCTGTAGGCTCCCGAGGCGGGATATGAGGTGCTGCTCCTCAAGTGGGAAGACGCCACCCCCGAATACTGCCAGCCATCACTGGCACCAATAGTTAACTCATCAGAACCTGAGGGGGTCCAAGTGGCACCCATGCTAACACAATCCGGTGCATTATGAAAGCGGTTTGGCTCATATTCTGATTCACATTCTATTACTGATCACTACTCCTTTACTTTAGAGACAAACAGGAGTTATTGCAAGAACTACCCCAGTTAAAGTGGAGAGATTGGAATGTGGAGATCTGTAGGAATGCAGGACTTCCACACAATGTACCCTGCCAACACTCAGGGGTTAGTATGGGCCAGGTACTCTATAAGTTTGCACATCAGTATAAGTCAGGACAGTGGACGAAAAAACACACAGTGGTTGCATAAAGCATTTACATGTATTATTGAAATTGCCCTCGAACCAGGGGAGAGTAATTAGGGAGCTAATACCTCAACAACACAAAAGTAAGGGGAAAGGGTGATGGATATGAGTGGACTGTATCCAGCCCTTCAGGAATCACAGTGCAAACAGGGACAAAAATGTTCTTTAAAATGTTAAAATAAGGTATCGGGCATGACTGCAATATAAGGTATTGTAATTGGACTTAACAGTGGGCAAAAATTTGGCTATTTCCCAATGGGCCACCAAGGTGTGAATCAGATGCACTCTAAGGCAGTTGCAAACTAGATCTGGCCAGCTACAAATTGTGGCAAGTGAGGATATATGGTAAAGGATTATAGATAGAGAGAGGAGGATGAGGAAATAGCTCAGGGATTTGCCATAACTGTGGCAAACCTCGAACATCTGCAGTGGGACTGTAGGAACAAGGGCGGGGGATAGGTGACAGAAAAGGCCCAACTGGGATGGAGTGAGGAAGTGGGAATGGCACCTGGGTGGATCCGGCAGATGCTGAAGGATCTGCAGAGCCAGAAATAGGGAGGAATGACCTGTGGCGATCAGGACCTAAGAATGTTTATCAGTGCAGTGTAATGGGGATGATGATGCCAAATTCTGACAGACAGGCTACATCTGTGTCAATAACTGACTGAGACTTACAACAAGGAAACAGGTAGTAGCAGGGAGGGGAATGCCTGTACAACTGAAGGAAGTGTTAGAATTAGTATTAGAACAATAATCTGTGCCCAAATATGAGTTGGGAAAGAATGTAGAAAGGACCATCTCAGGAATAGATCTCCTGTAGGAATTGTAGAAATTAGGAGCAGTCATCAACCCAGGGAAGAGAAGATGACCTTGAGTAAAGCCACCAGATCAAGCTAAGGTCAAGCTCAGCCCAGCATCAGATAATGCTGGAGGCTTGGGAAATACAAAGGAAATGTGGAATGATAATGGGAACAGAGCCAGATTGCTGGAAAATTAATATGCCCCCTCTGGAGGTACAGAGACCTATCCATGGGCCAAAGAGACAACATTCAATATGTAGGGAGGCATCGGTATCACTAGGGAAAATCTACCCAGTGAGCGATCTGAGAAGCCAGATCCCTGA